AGAAGAATTATATATATAAAGATATGTAAAATAATTTCCTGTCAATCTAAACTTTTAACTTCTTGCACCTATGTTAAGATAATCATACTAACATCACCTCCAACGTTTTCGGGCTGACAAAAAACGTACGAAACGAAATGTCTTAAACAAATCGTTTTTTTTAACTGGAGCTTTTTATTTTCCCGTCGGGTGAAATAAAAATTAGATAAATAATTAAGTCGGTGCGCTGGCGTAACGCTTATAAACTGACTAGGTCACGAAAACAAAGTGGTGACGTCATCTCAGACCTTGCTACGTTATTTGCGTTTAAAATAGCTCCAGAAGAAAGTGATCTGTGCTATAATAAAATAGTTACTGACAGAGTTAAATCTACACAAACAGAATAAAAATCGTTCTTGTATTAACCTCGTTCAAAGTTATAGTACAGGAGACAGTGAGTGATCGACATTCACCCTATAACCAGACGAGACATATTTTCATGAAATACTTGAGATTAACAAACATGCCTCTGATACCTCGCTTATCAAAAACTATTTAAGTATGGCTATGAATAATAGAATTAATTAATTTTAAACAATTTTCTTTCATCTCATACACTCTTTTGATAACGGAATGAATTTTATATCAGTTGATAGTTTTCAACACAGAGAATATGCTTAGGTATGCCCAAAATATATCTCATCTGCTTAATTGATGGGTGTAGGTCGACCGACTGGCTCTTATACTATTATTGATTATAAAATAGTAAATATTTTGTAATGTTTATAACCAAATATATAACGAACGTATTAACAAAAAGAAATTCATTTCGTAATAGACAGCAAAGACATAACAAGTGAGTACTTAAACTCCTCTCCAGTTTCAAGTCTTGTTCATACGGAAATATGCAAATAAAATGATTATTATAAACCACGACTATGTTGAACCTCAACCACAGTGGCTATACACCCTTAGGTCCTAGGAGATAATAAATGCATGGTCTAGGACGCGAGATGATTAGGGACCCGCGGCCTATTGTAATGATTAAGCAGCGAAAATGGGTCTTTCCATATGTCATATATTATCGAAGCTTCGATTACTTTTCTTTGCTCTGTGAGCGTTTTTTTTTCTTCAAAAATATAAGTTGTTTCGTCGTTTCAGTGAATTATAACTTAATTTTTATGTCTTTAACCGTGATTGTTTGTTTTGTGTTAGATTATTCGCCTTGGGTCGTTTGTATTTTCCGAGAGTCGTTCATACGATATGTTATATGAAAATATGTTGAGTTTGACTACGATTCTTTGTTATCAAGAAGCCGAATCTCTTCCCGAATAATGTCATACATTGATTGATAGGGAGCACAAAAATAAAGGCAGATAGATATTATTTACACAAAACTGTCTGCATGAAATCAATATGATTGACTCGCTTTATCGGATCTAGCTTAAAATGTTTATTTTGATTGCTAAATTTAAATATTTAAGACGTGAATCTAATGAGTCACTGTGGCCGATTTAATTTCAAATTAACGTTTTTAAATAGATTGATAACTACGGCCGTTTTATAGCTTAAACTTAGTCGATTTTTCAGCAAGAAACGAAAACTCTGATATACGTAGCCTGTTTGTGGGATGAAAGTTAACAAATGATTTTGGTGAGAGTATTAGAGATCCTGCCAAATGATTGTCTAAAATCTGTGCCTACCTCTTTGAGTGACGGCACATGGGTTAAGCATTGGACTTGAAATCTACATCTCCGGGTTCGATTCCATGTGCCAATGTTTTCAGATTTTCTAATTTTTATTTGCGTTTATCCAACGTTCTTTCCTTGTATATCGTACGTTCTTGAGTCCACGAAATTAATATAATTATTTCTAATATACAAGTTTGATGAAGCATACTGTACTATTGACAACCACGTGTCGTTAATTGCAAGAATATTTTACTGTCTTTTCTGAGACGTTTTCATTAGCCAAGGTCGGTAGATAGAAGAAAGGAGATATTAAAATTAAATCCAATCTATAAGGCAAAACATTAATATTGTGGGCAGTTGCGTATTTACTCATACCGATAAAGCTAGGGGTATGATGAGTTGCGTATTTTACTTACAAGCTATTAGAAAAATGTACTGATGATAGATGCAAGTCATAGTTGAATTATTATATATTATGTATGTTAATAATATATGCGATTTATATTGTTTTTCTGCGTGTAAGATAATTTAAAGAGTCGTAGTCGTCATATTTTTTCATCCAGTTTTTATGATTTTTCAACAACGACCTTGTGCCATTAACCATCTCAAATTTACTGCCATCATAAATTATGTCGTTAACACTTAATATATGTCCTATGTGTTTTTTGTGATAAAATTACTGATTTTTCACCAGTATTATCAAATATTGACTGCTTAATTTCTCGTAAGTAACGTATTACTTGATAATGTCTAAGATAAAATTATAAAAGCGTTATGATATCACCTATTTTCGAATCTCATTTTTATAATGTCGTCATGATCCTATCGTTTTTCACAAGATGGCGACGCATAACGACAAATCCCTGTATTTCTATTTGCGTAGCTTTGCACAACGGGAAGAGCGCGACTGCGATTTCTTTGCGCCTAGCTCGAATCGACGTTTCGACCTTCTCGCGGTTTAGAGGTGCGCTTTAAATGTAGGCAATGCAGTTTATTTTGTAATATAAATTCACACTTAAGGTTATCGCCAAAAATAGAGCACGGACAAGCTTTTACATAATTTCAGCGCAAGTTCGGCCGAAAATAGTTTCGGTTTGTGTGACGCAGAGCGCGGGGATAGCGGGCGCGCGGGGTAACGGACTCACCTCTGGCGAGGAGCGCGAGCGCCGACACGGCCAGCAGCGCGCACAACATAAACCGCCATAACTTCAACCTTTCGGTCCACATCGTGTCAAAGTTGGGCCCGGTCGAGCGGGCGACCAGTCATTTGCACACACACTCGCGCACCTCAACCCTCCACCTGCAGACGGCAACGGTCACACGCAAAGCACCAGCAACGCGACGCGACTGGCATTCGATGGAATGCAACTCGCGTCGCTTTCCTCAAACCGGGGTTAACGAGAGCGCTTCGAGAATTTATTGAAATCGAGTTGTAGTCTAGAAATGCAAGTTAACTGTATCGCTCTATAATTAACCGCGGTTTGAATGGCGCGGCTGCTCGGGGGCGGTTCGCGACACTGCATGGATCGGACGTACTCTATTTCCGGAGACAGCACAGCATCGCTGGTCGGCGGGTACTGGCGGCTCTCCCGCGCCCGCGGTATCCGCGCTTTGCCAAGACACGCGGGCGAGGGGGGAGGCGGCTGCGCCCGCGCCTCGCTCTCCCGAATCATAAACGACAGGTTGACGTGTCGCAGAAGATATTCTCTTAATAAAATTGTAGTAATTTTGAAGAACACTACATCATCAGTCTTTACAATAGATATCAGGATAGAAACATTTATAAAGCGTCAAAAGGGATACCACAAATGTAAACTTATTTCCACTACGTACAGTCCACAGAATTTACTTGAACTTTTGGTAACAGGATCATGGTAGTTTCTAACTAAGCAACACAATTTTTGTAATGAAAACACTAATATGTTAACTCTACAGTTATTTGAATACCATACATCTCGATTAATTTAGCTTCTATCGCTTTTATTCTTGATAAGAATTTAAAATATTCTCTTCCCAGTATCTGTCTTCCGAAACATACCAAGTAGCAAATAAAATTAATTTATATCTATTACACTATTCCATTGACAGAATACGCTTTTACTAAAATTCGATGTTTACGAACATATTGAAAACAATATTTTTAATATGATGATTAACAAATACACTTATTATCTCCGAATACGATTAAACCTACTCCTAAAGCTTAAGCATTTCTCATAACAACTAGTGTAATACCGCAGAATCTCTTTAAGAACCCGCAATTCGATACAACTGGATTCCAATATCCTAGATACATCGAAGTGAAGAAACACAAAGGTGTGAAATCTACCAATCCACACAGGGCCAACGTGGTTAACTTACACCTAATCTCCTAACTTGGATATGCTCTGTGTTCCTCGGTGGGCACATATGAGTTGACGACAAGGACAGTGTACACGGTTGTCCTTTCGCCTATCGAACATTTACAAACAAGTGTAGTGATTAATATCGGCAGTACATCGCTTGGCAATAGTCAGGCATGCGCGACGCCACACGCTCCTACATTTCAAACTTGCATTCCTAAAATTACAACATGTATCTTTATTTCAAAGTAGCTGTCAACTGTGATTTCGTCAGTACACAATTTTAAAAAAGTAGCATAAGTTACTCCTGCACATATAAACTACCTTCCAGTAACATACATGTCGTTGGTCCACCTTTTTTGAAAAAATTTACACGGATTTGCGGACAATAGAACAAAAATTCAAAAAAAGATTTTTCGATATAAGCAATGCAAAATATGCTTTTTTTTTCAATATTACAGACAATCCAATTTTATTAATTGCATAGATTTAATGCACTCAGACATAATTAAAGCAACAACGAAATGTGTAGGTTTTATGTTGTTCGGTGATTCTCAAAGTGGTCGATATGGAACCCCTGGCGTAGAACAGTGGGAAATAATATTGGGTATTTACAACTCAAAGAAAACAGATATAATTACAGATATAGTTGATATGAGTTCACTCAAACCAGAAGAATTTTAAAAAGGCTCACGATTGAGAATACATATTACTAGCTGTCGCCCGCGACTCCGTCCGCGCTGGATTAAAAATAGATGTTGGCCGATTCTCAGACCTACTCAATATGCTCACAAAATTTCATGAGAATCGGTCAAACAGTTTCGGAGGAGTATAGGAACGAAAATTGTGACACAAGAATTTTATATATAAGATATCTGAAGCTTAAGTACCTTGGACTATTTCCATTTCACAATTGTTCCAAAAAATTGGTAAATCAAAAATTAAAAAAGTATTTGTATGAAACTTATTTATTATGAGACTTAAAAATATTTAAATTTATAAAACATTTATTTTCAAGTGAATTGATACGAGCCTTGGAATAAATATTGCTTGAATTATTTAAACTTTGAGTTCCATAATAATGCAAAACTTTTTTTTCATCTTTAACTAGATGGCACTGTTCTCAACTTTATTGTTTCATGATAAAAAAAACATACATATACAATCTTCATTCACATGTTGTTAACCTTTTTGTTTAAATCAAGAGTGCCATTTCATATTTTTGATGAAAAATAAAAAAAAATTACTAACATTTCTTCCAAAGCTCAATAATTGACATAAATCTATTTTATCTTATACTTTTCAACTTATAAAATTATTCTTATTTCTACTTAGCCTTAATGGTCTATGATGATAAGTTCATCTATACTCCAATCTTCATAGGAATGGTCAGGTAAATATCTTCGGATTATGATAGGTATCTTTCTCTGTTTCAATTCTTTCATAGCTATTTGTAGGGGATCCGTTTCTCCTTCCAATTCTACCATCACTGGAGCGCACATAGCAATCTGTAGAGCTCGAGTGCCTGAAATAATGTTACAACTAACATTATAATGTGGTTTTTTAAAGAGAAATGACAAAATATTTTTTTAGGTGTTTAGGCAGCAAAAACCCATAGTTAAACATTATTTTAACAGTGGTAGAGCCCGCTTTAACATCTTCGCACAAATTGGCCTGGCTCGCCTGGTGAAATACCACAACCACACAGAAGACAAGCATCAAGTGGAAGCAATTCCGCGTTTCGTCTGATGAGTGTGCGTCCCGGAGGCCTCATTTAGTCCTCTTTCCCTTCCCACCGTTTTCCTATAAGGAAAAGATGGGAAGTGGAAATGGACTTTCCGGATGAGAGGATGCATGGAAAGGGAAAATATTTAATTTCTGTGCATCCTCTCCTCCGTCGATTAAAGGTAGCCAACGCATATGCAATTGCGCATGTCTATGGGCAACGGTCACTTCGCTATTTCAGCGATTTCAGGTGGCCGCTTGCTCGTTTGCCACCTTATGATATAAAAAAAAAATTATATGTTATATTGTTAACAAATGCCAAATGTAGCTTGTGAAACCAATATAAATATTATGATGGGTATAATTGCGGCTTTCTACAAATTGAATAACTAAAATATGAACAAAATTACAGAAATAAATATTGAGAATATATGACTAAGACTAATTTTCTTGTTCATTTATAACCTCAAATACAAATGTTAACAGTAATTGAGAGACTTCATTTTCTATTTTACTGTTTTTCTTTAATTAAATAATTAATACACTAAAACTAAACCAATACATGTTATGAGAAAATCTAGTATAGTTCAAGAAATCATCGAATAATAACAGTAACCATACAGATTAAGTGTGGTCTTCAATTAAAAAAAATGTAATTTACCGTACCTAAAACTCTTGCTCTCTCATATTTCGTCATATATCTTGTGGTAATTCTTTTGGACTTTTCCACTCCACCACCAGCTTGGCCTGGAGCAACACACTGGGTGTTGAAACCGTCTTCTTCCTGTTCTTCGGTCTCCTCTATGTTATCATCTTCTTCTGCGATGTCATCGTAATCCGCACCTGCATCCTCGGCTTCGTATTCTTCGTCAGCCATTATTATAATAGGTTTAATACAATACAACACTTAAATTCTTTAAATAATATGAAGTACGATTTGTAATAAAGAACGACAACAAATCTCAATGTGACAAAGTGACGTATCTAAGGGTTAGTGACGTTGTTGTTTTTATTATTCACTCGAAAGAGCAGGCAAAGGAACTAAGCCATACAGCCTTAAGGGTTAGTGACATAGTGACAGATAATCAAATGATGAAATGACAATTTGTCTGCAGTTTAGAAATCAGCAAAAGCAGAAATCTTAAAATACTAAAAATTAAGTATTCAAATAACCATTCCACTATAGTTAAAAATGTGTGCATACTTTAGAAGAATAGTATTTTCTCTAAATATACAAATTGACTGCGTGTGCTCCTTCATTTTTATTTCTTAGCCAAAATTTCTTTTTCACCTAATAATTTATAAACCAACAGCGTAACTTGTTAAACACTACTCATTGAGCACTGCACAACCTAGCAAATTCAAATTTTGCCTCGATTCAGCCAGGTTTTAGCAAAAGTCTGACTTGCACAAATTGCTTGACATGGAACGTTAGGCGTTGTATATTTTATCTGCAATATTTATGGAATTGTTCTCTTGTCTTTGCTACATTTTACGTCTTTCCTTTTCCGGTTCTGCATCGAAGCTGTAACCATGCCGGTGTGTTTTATTAAAAATTATCAATCAGTGATACCTTAATAAGTTAAATTAAGTAGTTCTTTGTGACATTACGCTATTGGTTTTTCTAACTTATTTTAGTTGAAATACACATTGAAACTCAAACTGCGCATAAGTTAAGATAAACACATGGCAGGATTTGACATCTCGACTATACATTCAACAAAATACTCTAACCTCCATTCCGAAAAAATGTTGAAATAACATTAGTGCTTAGTGGTTAAATTGGTGAATTGCGATTAACAAATTGGATTATTCAGTGTTGTGAAGCTAACCTAAATATAAACGTTTTCAGCTCGCTGTTGATCTATTGCATCCGTCGCCCGCGTCGGAGAGGAGGAAACACAAGCTAAAGAGGCTGGTGCCGCATCCAAACTCATATTTCATGGATGTAAAATGCCCCGGCTGCTACAAAATCACAACAGTTTTCAGTCACGCGCAAAGGGTAGTGGTGTGCGCTGGTTGTTCAACAATCCTTTGCCAGCCTACTGGTGGTCGAGCTAGGTTAACCGAAGGTAACTCATCTTCCTTACATATTCATAGGGATTATTAATTGGTAATTTATTTTTAGACATAATCGATTAATTACCGTTTCATTAGTACACAGTAAATGTGAAGGTACTTTGTGTAAATCAAAAAGTTCTCCAACCTGAACCAATCACATTCACATATTAAAATGCGTAAGATAATAAAGAGAAGTAGTTTAAAACAAAGAATATTTGCACTTGTTGATTGTTTACATACAGATTCTATAAAAACTGATTCATTCAAATCTATCTTATCTTTACACACTTTAAAAAATATTCTAAAACAAAATATGTAACCTAATAAGACTATTTTTTGTTTACGTCAAAGTTTTTATGGGTACCCTTTATTTTGTGACCCAAAATGAATAGTGGATGTATTAAAGAACTTGACAATATCATTATTTAGTGAAACACTGTGTATCAAAATATGGTGCAATAATTTTAAGACCGTAAGTAGGAGGAATATGTTGCACAACATGGAGTATCAGGTTCAGTAAATGCATCATATTATGAAATAAATACTAATTTTACTTTTCCTGCAGAATGTGATTTTTAGAACAATAAAATAAAGGATATTATAGTATTTACCACAAAAAGTTAATGCCATTTTTAATTATGAAACTCATCCTTGATTGAAAGTAAACAGAGGAATATTAAACTTCATACATTGAGGCAATAACTTAGGAGACAGGATTGATAAATAATGAATAAAAATAAAGTGTAAAATATTTAGGAATTTGAAAAGTTTACATGAATTGTAATTTGTATTGGAATTTAGGGTTGTGACTGGAATCAAGTGTAGGATTTTTAATTTCTAGAAATATTTGTTGTTGATGACCTTTAATCTTTCGAAAAGCGGTAATAATTAAATAAATATTTAATGTGAAGGTTACTAAAATATTTTAAAGTTAATACTGAATGGATTGGTGATTTTTTGTGTGTATTCAAAATTAATAATAATGATTTTTGAATCAATACCAATTAGTTTCAAATAAAATAATTTTCTTTATGAAGTAAAGAATGTGATTCATAGACACAAGCTGGGCAATTCAAAAGATATTATAAACATTTACACCAATATGCCATTTTTAATCTTTCTAACAAAGAATAGATAAAAAACCTTGAAATGTTCCTTGTTAAGAAATATTTGTTAACAATGTAATTTCCTATCTATTACAGGTTGTTCGTTTAGAAGAAAACAACATTAAGTTATCCTTGAGAGAAGCCCTAATTTAAGATTTGCATTTTATTTCCAGTTCTGTGAACGAATTATATTTTACTAATTCATTAAAATGGATCCATTAAAGCGTGAATAAAGGCTTTTTCGAAAGGATTTTTTTGGTTTTTTTTCTAGAATTAGTAGTTTTCCTTTGTGAAGCAACCTGAACAAATCTAAGAAGAAATTTAAAGATATGTGTTAAGTCAACCAACCCACACTGGGCCAGCATGGATAACTATGGTTTAGGCACCCCCTAACTAACCTTAGGTTAGGCTCTGAGCCCCTTGTTGGGGATGTATAGTGAGCTGATGATGAAAGTAGTTTATGCCTTTAATATGAAATAATAAGTTAAAATAACTAAAGCCTTGCCAAATGTAACATCTGTCTTGGTAATTAACTAAATCTGGTTTTAAATGATGGTTCATTATCATTACTGATGTTATTTTTTTTAATTAAAAAAAAAACTAAAACCGGGTAAATAAAGGACCAATTGATTATAATAAAGCTTTAGTAAAAATATTTATTATATACATTGGAATTTGTCTATAAATATAAAAAGATTGCGAAATTTTATTGCACTTATAAATTCGTATTATTTAAAAATACATATTTCTGTACAATGGTACCATTCCCGCAAATAAACAATATCACATACAAGTTGTGAACAAAAATAGTTGCACATATGTACAATAAACCAACATAAATTGCTCTAAGCAAATTAAAATAATCTTCATAGTCAAACATAGCATTCAACAATTTGGAAATATTAAAATTTACAAAATTAAATTATTAAATTCACTATACTGTTATATTATTGGTGTTATTAAAATATTTATGTTCTTTCAATACTTTTGCTTCATATTCATCTAATTTGGCATCAGCATTTTTTATATCCTGTTGGATAGCTTCAATTAAATCATTCAAGGAATCAAATTTCTTCTCTGGCCGTAAGTATCCAATTACACATATTTTTAGATTAGATCCGTAAAAGTCACTGTCGAATTTATGCATCACATGCGTTTCCTGAAAAAAAAAAGTTTAGAAACAATATAAGTGTGTACTTTAATATTGAAATCTTATTCTTAGTTTTATTTCTGCCTCGTAATTTGCACAATATTATTGTCATCTTATCATTTTTTCAAAGCTTGATTATCATTAAACTACTGATACCTACTTCAGCACTTATCACAATAAAATGAAACTAAGTGTGTGAACTATCAACCATACAATATTGTATTATTTGAACATAATAAAACCTAGGTTTTGGAAAATACAAAAGAAAAACAGAACATTGATGAAAAATTAATTATTAGAATATTTGAAATAACTGACAAATAGCAAGAACACTTAGTTCAATATAAGTTAATATGTAGGAATAGTTCCTTATTACTGTTTTTATAAGAAACAAATATATCGATTTTAATTTACAATATATGCTCATCATAATTTCTTAAAACCCGTTGTGTTCTGTACACGATACATAAATTACTAATTATTACGATCCATTGACCTGAATCAATTGACTCACAGTTGTGATATGCAAGTACATACAGATAAATATTGTTCACTGAACAAAGACTTGTATTGTGTTTCATTAGAAATAAATATCAGCATTACGTCTCAAAAGATATTTTGCAAATTCTGCAATATCACAGTTATATAGTTTAGTCTAACAAGCAGTGGGAATAACAAAGAGATACAATATCAGAGAAAGTGTTGATCCTTTTTTCACTCTCCTGTTAATACATAAATCTTATAATTAAAAATAGACATAATAAGTAGCCTATGTGTTCTTGTGCTAAATTTCATGAAAATCTGTTCAGCCGTTCCAGAGAATCCTTTAAACAAACATCCATCTATCTATCCCTTCATCCACCCATCCTAGATGGAAATTCACATTATATACAATTTTAATAAATTATAAATTTGCATTTATAATATTAGTAAGATAATAATACATACATACTTAAAGATAGTCATAACACTGAAGTACTAAGCTAATAGGAAGACTTAAATCTATTTGTACAATCATATACACTTAAATAAGAATTATCATTACCAACAAATATTATGTTGTCTAAATTATACAGGTTTGCGCAACTTACAACAGACATTTCCTTGTTTTCGTAGAATGGACACCAACCAATATTTGCCACCATTTTGTGTACCATTTGAGAGTCAACTTGAGCCCAACCGTAATAAACTCCAGGAGCCATGTCTTTGGGAATAGATTTTACCACTTCTAGTGAATAATTTGCTGTAAAAATTTTTGTAAATCATTGATAAAGCATCATTTTAAATATCAATAACTTTGTTAATATGAGGAATGGAATTCAAGCCCTCAAAGTTATGTTATTAGTTATGTTCACAAATCTAGTGTAACCAAGAATATTTATCATTCATGATAGTAAAACTTTGTTTATCTAAATAAGATATTCAATGTTGTTTGATATCATATATGCCATTGTTAAGAGACCTAATTTCAACAAAGTCAACAATCTAACATTGTGAGATTTTGTCTGTCTGGTAGATAACAATTTATGTAATATCAAAAATGATAATTGACTTTATTTATTTTGTGTCTAACTATATCTTACATTGAAAGCATATATATCTAGTTTGCTACATTTATTACTGTGAAAAACCTAATAAGTAATAATAATAAGCTTATTGAAGCTATATTAAAATGTATGACTATACATACCTGTTGGACAACCCAACTCTTTAGAGCCCCTTCCAAAACCTTTTACCACCTCACCTTCCATAAAAAATGGTAATAATGATGTCATTTTTTTAATTCCCCTAAAATTAAGCGTTATCTTACGTTTCGTTAGAACGTCAAGAGACGCTTGGTTGAAGTTAGGTTATAAAAATTGTTTCGTATATTTCGATTTGTTGATTAACGCGTGTTGTGATCTCTGTTTAAATATTAGTGTATTAGTTGTCTTTGTTTGGTGGTGGGTTTAAACTACTCCTCAAGGTAAGTGTATGTAGTTAGTTCCCTTTTTGTAGTAAAGATGAGTGCGATGGATGCCCCCGATAAGGGGGCTGTCCCTTCAAACAATACAAAGCCTGGACTAAAAAGACTTGCGGACGATCAGAGTGTCCAAAGACCGGATCCCAAAAAATCTACGTCTCCTTCCGAATCCATCCAATCCGTATATACTAAACCTGGATATGAAAATGACGCCAACGTGCAATATGGTGACAATGACAAAGGCCCCTTTACGGTGTACATCTCTCGCCAAGAAACAGACCCAACATCCGGTTATTCCTTAAAAACTCTTAAAGTGGCTCAACTCCTACACAAACACAATGTCCCTGGAATTGTAGAAGGTGGTATTAAAGAAGTTGGCAGAAACAAAATCTCTGTCACCTTTGAAAAACCCGATCATGCTAACTCCCTCCTCCAAAATCCTATCCTGGCAAATTGTAATTTAGTAGGCCACATTCCGCGATTTCACGTCTTCCGCCTAGGCATTGTGCGTAATATTCCCACTGAATGGACATTGGAAGAACTTCTATCTGGTATTTCTACCCCCTCCAACTGCGGTGAAGTTATCAAAGCAAGGCGGCTTAATTTTAAGTCAAGAAGAGAGGACTCCACTACATGGGTTCCCTCTAACACAGTTGTGCTCACTTTTACTGGCCAATGCCTTCCGGAAAAGATCTTCTGTTTTAATGTATCCCTCCCAGTCTCAGTGTATCACCTACCCACAATCCAATGTCGAAACTGTTGCAGATTTGGGCATATTGCCAAGCAGTGCAGGTCCAAACCTCGTTGCTTCCGATGTGCTCAACCCCATTCTGGAGACTCCTGTAACATTTCAGATTCTATATCTTCCTGTTTTCTGTGCCACGGTGGTAGACATGTTGCTACAGATCCCAAATGCCCCGAACACTCCAGACAAAAATCCATCAAAATTCTGATGTCAGAAGAAAATTTGTCATATATGGAGGCATCTAAAAGATTTCCTCATGTCAGAACTTTGTATGCAGACATTGCAGCATCCCCGACAGCCCCTACCCAGAATGTGTCTTATCCTACAGTTAGTTCCTCGCCCCGTCCTGCCTCTACTTCTTACACCAAAACTTTGTTCCTTCCCCCTCGACCTAAACCTGCGTTGACTAAATCTTATGATTTTGCCTCGCATAACTCTATTGTACAAACCCCCACATCTTGTCAATCCAATGGCTGTGCTTTTACTTCTCCCTCCGACCCTTGCCCTATCCCTACTCCTAATGACAACTTAGTTGAATTACTCCTCTGCTCTTTAATTAACATGTTTTCAAAATTATCAGATTCTCCTTTACCGTCCAATGTCTCTGTTCTAGCTGAACAACTTATTGCTCTCCTCGCTAAAAACTCTCAGCAAATTCAACCCCCAAATTCTCCAATGGAACTGTAGAAGTATCCGCCTCAAAAAATTTGAAATTAGTCAACTCATAGATCAGTATCAACCTATTGTTTTTGCAGTCTCGGAGACGTGGCTTAGTCCAGGTTCCCACTTCAGGGTCCCAGGCTTCTCCTGTCTTCGGGACGACAGAAATGATGGTAGGGCAGGTAGTGCCCTCCTGATACACAGATCTATAACTTTTTCTCAGATTAACATCCCTCCTCATAATTCTGGTTTAAATATAGTAGCTGCCAAATTGTTAAATTTGTCCATCGTTTCCGTTTATATCCCACACCCTAATCCAAATCTTATTTCTGAACTTCAGTCCATTCTATCGTCAATCCCAAGCCCCTTAATCATGTTAGGCGACTTCAATTGCCACCATACTATGTGGGGGTCCCACTACAATGATCCTTATTCATCATTTCTGATAGATCTGATGGATGATGTTGGCCTCTGTGTCTTGAATGATGGTACACCTACACGCAGAGTATCCCCACTGCAGAATATTAGCGTACCTGATCTTTCTTTATCATCCCCCTCACTGGCACCCAACTTAGACTGGTCTGTTCTTCATCATACATATGGAAGTGACCATTTCCCCATTTTGGTCTCTATTCTTCAAGCTTCTATCCCAAGCATACCTTTTAATCCCCTTCAAAAATATCGGACATCTAAAGCAAATTGGAACATGTATTCCGACATTATTAATAAAGAAATTTCCTCTCTTCCAGAGGTTACTCCTTATAATTTTCTAGCATTGTATAATGACTACGTGTCTATTCTTTTAAAGGCAGCTGACAATAGCATTCCTCTGAAAAACTCAGCCCGAAAGGTAATTGGTTCACCCCCATGGTGGGACTCTGAATGTTCAGAAAGTATCCGTTTACGTAATGAAGCTGAGAAAAAATATGAATCCAATTTTACGATGGAGAACTTTCTGTCTCTAAGGAGAATTACAGCCCGCACCCGCAGACTCCTGTTTAAAAAAAAACGTTTAGGGTGGCAGAGATTCTGTGAATCTCTCTCCCCACGTTCCCCTCCTGCTCTTATATGGAAAAAGATCAGGGCTTACCGCATGTCTCTTAGAGATTCAAACATATCCTCTAATGATTCAATACCTTGGTTAGAAAACTTCTTTAATAATTTAGCCCCCCCCTTTGTCCCTGAATTCGGTAACTTCCCCCCCCTTCTTTCCCCTTCTTCTGACAGATTGAACGATCCATTCTCTTTAACGGAGCTATCATGTGCTCTAGATCACCTACGGGATTCCTCTCCAGGTATCGATGGCATTCCTTATTCTTTTGTGTGCAAATCTCCTGGCTTATCCAAGTCCCTATTACTTAAAATCATTAATACCATTTTCATAACTGGCACTGTTCCCGACTCTTGGTTAATTCAAATTATAATACCTATTTTAAAACCTGGTAAAGACCCCCAGGACTATTCCTCCTACAGACCCATAGCCCTCTCTAATGTCCTTGCCAAGATTATGGAACTATTAGTCAAAAACAGGTTGGAGTGGCTTCTTGAAAACCGCAATATACTGTCTAATACCCAATTTGGATTCAGAAGAGGTAAAGGTTGCTTGGACAGCTTAAGCATTCTTACCTCCGAAATTCGCATAGCTTTTACAAAAAATGAAAATGTATTAGGTGTCTTTTTGGACATTTCATCTGCATATGATAGTGTTTCGCTTCCCTTACTCAGGCAGAAAATGCTTCAGCTGAGTATTCCCGAGAGGCTAATCAATTTTATCTGCAGCTTGTTAATGTCTCGATCAATTTCTGTCCGTCATTGCAACACTCTCCTCCCTTCCCGGTCAGTATGGAAAGGACTTCCTCAGGGTTCTGTCCTGAGCCCCCTGTTATATAATATCTACACCTTTGACTTAGACTGTTCCGTAAATCAATTTTGCAAAATTTTACAATATGCTGACGATATTGCTTTGTACTCCACCTCCCCATCTATAAACGTCGCTACTATTTGTATAAACACTGCCTTACATCATTTAAATGAATATCTTTTGTCCCACAATCTCTCCCTTTCCATTACAAAATGCAGCGCAGTGTTATTTTCCCGTAAACGAAATGTGCCTTCAGTTGCAGTTCGTGTAAATAATACTCCTATTAATCGGTATGATTCGGTGAAATTCTTGGGTGTCACTCTTGATTCCAAACTTTCCGGAAGACAGCATTTAGAACATGTAATTAAAAAATGCGAAAAGGGCGTAAACATTTTAAGAGCACTTACCGGGGTTCGTTGGGGCTCTCATCCTGCCACTCTGAAACTTCTCTATGATGCGGTTATTCGTAGTCACTTTGATTACGGTGGTTTCCTTCTTGATCCCTGTAATAAAATCGCTTTATCCAAATTAGATAAGATTCAATCTAGATGTCTCAGACTAATAACTGGTGCTATGAGATGTTCTCCAGTTAATGCTCTCCAAGTGGAATGTCTAGATCCCCCCTTATACCTTCGTAGACAATTCCTATCTGATAGATTTTTTTGCGGTGTAGTCCAAATTAAATCCCACCCCCTCCTTCGCTTACTAAAGACTCTCTCTCAAACTATACCAACAGCTAACTATTGGTCCCACAAAGACCCTCCCTTACTCACTAATTCTTTTGACAAATATACATCTCACTCTTCCCCAATAGAACAGAGTGTTCTCTACCCCATTTATGAGACCCAGTTTGATGTTCTTATTTTCTGCCCTAGGATTATTCTAAATTTTGGAGTCGACAAAGATAGCCCTGGGGCAAACCTAAAATTCAATAGTATTCTGGAATCTGACTGGCCACAATGGAATACAATTTATACTGACGCTTCAAAATCCTCTCCCGATAGTACTGTAGGGTCAGCTGTATGGATTCCCAAATTTAAAATTATTTTAAGCTTTAAATGCCCCCCTTCGACCTCTATTTTTACAGGAGAAGCGATTGCGCTATTGGAAGCTATCTCTTTTGTTGAATCACACAAACTAAACCAAACTCTAATATTTTCCGACTCCTTAAGTTGTCTAACAGATATTCTAAAAACGCCTTTCCGAGCCCGTGATAATTCTAGCGTCACTCTTAAAATCAAACAACTCCTATACAAATGCCACTGCTCTGACATTGAAGTTATCTTAGCGTGGATTCCTAGCCATACGGGTATCAGTGGTAATGAAACAGTGGACTCATGTGCAAAGGTCGCCGTCCATTCTGGTTGCGACACTTATAAATTTAGCCTCCCTCGTGATTTACGCATCTCTGCTAAATCATCTATGTTAATTAATTGGAATAACACTTGGCAGAGATCTAACCAATCTAAGGGTAAGTACTATGGATCGATTCAACCTTCCCTTCCCTCTAAACCTTGGTATTTAAAACATGGACAAATTAGTAAATCTACAACATCTGTAATATGTCGCCTACGACTGGGCTTCATTGCTACCCCTGTTTTTCTTGCCAAAATCCGCATTCGTAATCATTCCCTGTGTGAATGCGGCTTGGAAGAGGGCTCTTTAGAACACATATTTTTCAATTGCCCGAAACTCAAGGTTCATTTATACGACCTGCTCCCTACCAACATTCCTAGACCCATTAATATTCCATTCTTACTAACTATGGTTCACACTCCCTTGGTAAAGGTCCTCTTTAAGTTTTTATCTACTAACAATATTAAACTTTAATTTCCCATGCCCTTAATATTATTCTATGTTTTTAGATTACTAACATCTGTGTTGTCCTTTTTCAGAGTCGCAACCGTCACCATCAACCGATCATTTGTCAAATAGATCTATACTCCGTCTATCTCTCTGTTCTTTGCTACTTAATCTTTTAATCTTTTAATCTTCCTTTTTTCGTTTTCAATTACCTTCAACCTTGACGTTGGCGAAATCATCGAAATTAAACGATGGGGTCCACTAGCAACTAAAAGAAGAAGAAGAAGAAGAAGCGTTATCTATTAGAATTCTACGTAACTCTATGTAATGATACATATTGTATTATCGTATCAGAGTAACAAACTTACAATTTAAACAAACCTTATATGTTTCATATAAAAAACAGCATTGTATGCAAATAATAAAAAAACTAAAAGCCTTCTTTTCAAACGACCTTCTTGATAGGCTGGCGGTTTGGTAATAGTACCCGAGTTCGAGTTGGAAAATCACATCATGTCACAAACGTCTTGATGTTTTTGATTAATTTGATTTAAAGCTGTCAAAACTGACAGAATCGAGTACATAAAGAAATGTCATTTTCATCACCACATATTGCAAAAAGTAATTTGATGGAGTTGGTGGCCTATGAAAGCTTAAAAAGCTTATCATTTTTTCCCCTTATGTAGATTACTTTATCCTACCATTCCAAACATATATCGAAACAAATTATATTGTAGTAATGTTATTTAGATATCAGTGAAGGCAGAAAATCTTTCCATTAATTATCTGTAACATCTATGGCCTTATTGTCTACGGAATAATAAATTTTCGTTCATGATGTCGCACTATTTATTTCATAAATTTATTTACTTTATTATTTGTGAGTGAGAATCCAATAAATCTAAGTTAAATAATCGCCTAAATTATATAAGGGTGTTTGGGCCTCCAATGATTTAAATAATGGCACATAGTCCTTAGATCTGTATGTTAGGATTGTGTTGTTGACAAGAGCCAGTCAAATGATGGCGATAATAGTTACATACAATATGTTTAAGAAAAACTAATACTAAAATGACTGAAAACGGTAATCGATCTCCACCTTCGTGGGACATGCCCGGTCCCTCATCACTGGCAGCTATTCTAGACACCGTTTTTACGTCTTCCTCCGACAACCAGCCAAGAAATGGTATGACTTATTGATAACATTATCATGAAGAAGTCAGATATTTAATTATTTGTGTATTGCATCTTTTTTTCAGAGGAAATGGATTGTGAGCCGCTGTTCGCAGAAAGCGACGATGATGTAGAAGTGCTTCCTTCTGTACCAAATCAGTTTTCATTGCCCAGAAATGAGTCGTCGTCTAAAAACGCAGTTTCATCTGACTTTGTTAATTCAACTTCGCCAGCCCAGTCATATGTTGTAAATATACCACTGTCACATCTTGGATCATCTCACACACCTGTACCAGAAGAATACCAGCCTCTGCCTGATAGCTCAAGTTCATTAGATTATGTTCTGAGAAATAACAATGCGGATAGCACTAATGCCAATGGGCAAAGATTTGCTGATGTAAACATCCGCTACCAACCAAAACAATTTACTCCAGTTCAAGATTTTCATTATCCTCACTATAGACAGTATGGTCAAAATTCAGAACAAAGGGAGTCTAGAGATTATATGCCAAATTCATTTGCCAGTAATAGATTGCCCCAAAATGAGGCTAGTGGCTATTCAAACCAGCCAATAAACTACACAGTGCACTCAACTCCTCCACAATTGCGGGAAAATATAAACAGAGGCTTTGATGATATGCCACCAAACAATGTTTACAATCATATTTCTTTACCAGATAACAACTATGGGGACAGCAATCTCCTAAGTAACTTGGAAAGACCGAGTCGTAAATTAAACATCTCTCCTCGGAGAAGACTGTCTAAAGAGAATGAAGTGAATTCAAACTTAATAGAAGTTAGTTCAGAAGAGGAAGACAATGTAGCAGGACCTAGGAAGAGGCAGTGTGATAATGGTGCAGGTCGGTCAGACTCCAATGTACGGATGGATGTGTCCACAAATACAAATGAAATAAATGCCAATATAATATCTAGAGTGGAAATCAAAAGGGAGCCAATGGAACGTACCCAAGCTCCTACGCAGGCACGAGGAGATGCTCAGGCAGTACGGAGGCCAAATGAAATTACCATTGGGACCAGAAATAATGTTAATACTATTCATATAAGAGCAACATTTAAACGCAATGATAATTACAGACCGAATGCACCTAGAGTTACTGCCGCGGTGGTATCACCGGTCATCCGCCACCCTGGTAATCAGACTTGCAGGGAAAGAAATTGTGGGAATGACTGTACATGGAATAATCAAAACAACGCAAATCCAAATAGATCTCATCACCATTATTATCATCACCACCATCATCATCATCATCACAGGGTATTAAAATGCACATGTAACTTGCCAATTTCGAGGAACTCAAATCCCGCAAATGTCAAAGAAGAACCTGGTCAATCTAATCAGGCTTCAGTGGTAAAACCAGAACCTGGTGCATCTCAAGCAACACGTCATGATGAAAACCAACCATTGCCTGCAGTTAATATCAAATTGGAGACAACAAACCAACAGGTCATTAAAATAGAGCCAGGCTGCTCTAATCAATTGAGAAATATGGACGAGAACAGGAATGTGATTGTAAAAATTGAAGCAAATACAAATGATAACAGCACTAGGAGATGCTGTATTGTGGATGCTGGTGGAGACAGGAAAGTTAAAGGGATATCTCCTCAACCAGGACCAAGTGTACGAAGAGGGAATGATAATGAAATTGTAAATGCCAATCAGAATCAGGTTAGTATCTATTAACAAAATAGTAGGTACAGTGCTTATATAACTATTATTAAAGAAATAAAATTCAGATAACCCTTCTAGGTTAAACACATTAAGAAATATTATTAATGTTGACTTATAATATCAAAGTTTCCCTCAAGAAGTTTAAATCTCAACATACAATTATGTTCATACACACAATACTTCATATAGCTTTTTAATAAATTCATAACCTCGAATTTTAATAAAGCCATACAATGTATTTAAATTATAAAAAATGTTTAATGCCATTAAATTTTTTACATATTAAAGTTAAAAATATAATGTTTTATATTATAGCAACCACAACCTATTAATGCAGCCGCCCGAAGACCAGATAATCCTGGACTATCAGCTCCAGACTTGCAACTTGATTGGTTCACCGACAGCTCTGATGATGATGTCCAGGTGTTGGGTGAAGAAAATAATCAAGTGAGTAAATCTTTCCTGAATTTTGTACCATATATGATTTAAAATTATTTTTGTAACAGCAACATCCGAATATTTACCGCTAAAATACAAAGTCATGTTGTATTATATATCATTCATATTAAAATTGTAATCCTAAATTCCAGCAAGAGGTGATTGATCTCACCAGTTCTCCGAGCGCAAGTGCTCCACCTGAGTCTCCAGTGCATGCATCTCCGACGTTGGAGCCTCAGCCGCCCCAAGCTGGGGCTCAAACTGAACCTCAAGCAGAACCTCAAGCGGAACCACTAGCGGAACCACAAGCACAGCCTACGGAGCAGCCTCAGCCGCAAGCAGCTCAGCCCAACTGCCGCACCGCTGGTCGCGTGCCTGCTGGCCCTCGGGTATATGAAGCGCCGAGAGTCGGAGAGCCGCAAATTTACCATCCTAATTCACATGTCCCGCACCATTCATTCGTTCGTACAAGGTAGTTATATGTTAAGAATATTATTTACTAGCAGTTGCCCGTGCCGTTGTCCGTGTGACGAATATAGTAAAAAATATAGCCTATGTCACCTAGGGACAGTGTCTTTCTTAACAGTAAAAAAAAATCAAATCGGTTCAGCAGTTATAGAGCAACCAGACAATCAAATCTTTCTTTTTAAAAAATAACTAGAAATAAATGCCTAAATTTAGATACTAGTGTTTTTTTCAAAAAAAGAAGTTCATTTGTCTCTGACTTTGAAAGACGACTATATGAAACACGAAAATAAATAATTATAGGAATAATTTGTTATGAATTATTTATTATTATGTTGATTGTATGCAGGGTGCGCGTAGGCACGTGCATGGTACCGTGTCCGACGTGCTGCTGCGCGCCCAACGTGCCCAGCACGCACGCCACGCCCCCGATGGCGCATCGTAAGTATACATCTCAGAGTTAACTTAGTTTTATTATTTATATAAAACATATTTCGTCGCTAGCCTACAATTATGCTCCAATAAACTGTAAACCACCAACTTTTGTACATAGCATAGCATAGCATACAAATGCTCTATGTACTTTCTTTTGACTTTATGTCTCATCGTTCAAAATCTTTAAATATTTTTGTAAATTTTATCTACAGTGCCAATTGTCCCTGTATATGTGAGCAACTCAGAGGTTCCAACACTTGACTTATAATCTGCAGGTCCTAGGTTCGAATCCCGCCATCTACCAATGTGTTTTCGATTTAGATGAAGGAAAACATCCTGATGCAACTTGCACATATCTGAGAAGAAATTCAAAAATATGTGTGAAGTCAACAAACCTTCACCGGGCGAGCGTGGTAGACACGGCCTATTCACCCCTAACTTAGGGTAGGCTCCGAGCCCCTCTGTGGGGGCGTATAGTGAGCTGATGAAGATGTAAAAGATTATTTTTTTATAATTGTTAACTTGCAGTTGGCGAAAGGCGTCGCAGTTCATTGCCGATAGCGCCGCCTTATATAATGCACGAGCGTCTCTGGCACAGACAACATCACATGCTGGTAAATAACCTAACATTTTTAGTTTTGTTATTAAATGATTGACTAACCGTAGGTTTCTGAGATCTCCGTTTAAAACATATCGATATCTCTGTTTTGTCAAAGGTAATGACAGGGATGACTATATATTATATACACAGATTTTGGTCTTAGAAACCAACGTTAAACAGGGCAGTTAATTTTTTTCTCATACATCTTAAGCTAAAGTTGTATGTGTTATTTGATTCGTATTCTTTTTAATTTTGTTTTTACAGTGTACCCAATTTTTTTTATTATTTTGTTGTATACAGGAGGTACAAAGACGGAGTATGATTGGTGAGCTGGCGGGCAGTCTGAATGTGCCCCCTCCCTACCCACCTGCATATACGCCCACGCCGCGCTCTACTACATATCTCTCTGTAAGTGTTACATACTCTGAGTTGTTAATAAACCACTAAGGGATTCCTTTACTGTACATTTATATTAGGTATTTACAGTAATAATCATTTTATTAAGAGTTTTTTTTACAGTTCCCAGATCACTTTGAGCAGAATGATAATGCACAAATGCCTGTTATGCTGTAAGTTATATATATTTAATATTGGAAATAAACATTTTAATTCCTCTTAATTTAATAAATAACATAATGAATATTATTCCAGTGACGGTCAGAATGTTCACCATCATATGCATCATCATCACATGCAGGTCAACCCCTCGCCGCATCTGCATATATCAATACAGCCATCCGTAATGGTATGTCAACCTTACCTAAAAATTTAATACATCTATTCTTAAAGGACTGTGGCATATACTCTTTTTATGACACAAAGATCAAGATTTGGGAGTAATAGTTAAACAAGGATATCTAGACTGGAGAGAGACGTTGCTATCGCGATTGATTCTATCAGAATATATATAAAACCTAATTAGACATGAAAAATTACAGTGCAAAGAGGATCTTTTGACTGTTTTGACATTGACAGGGGGGCGTTAGTGAGCTGTCATAATTTAGTTTGAATCCACCGGTTCAGATAACTTCGTCTATATATTCTAATGATGTTGAAATTTTGTCGAAATCTATAACTTAAACTTTTTTTTTTCATGTTATCAGACTCCATCGTTGTCTCTGGCGGCGCACATGGCGGCGATGGTGCGCGCGGCCTCGTCCGCGGACGCGCGTCGCTCCTCCCGCGGCGCCTCGCGTGCTGTCATAGAGCGCAACACGTACCGACACGCGTACGCGCGCCCCGCCCCACATCACCAGGACGAGAAGTGCACCATCTGCCTCTCTATATTCGAAGTTGACTCCGATTGCAGGTCAGATTAATAGGGACAGATCTTATTCCAGGTCTCGAAAGTCTAAAAATATTTTTTTTTTTATTTTACCATACAAATACTGTTTTTTTTTTTACCAACGAACATGTTTTGAAAAAAAAATCGTAATTTTCATTAGTTATATCGAACAAAAGTAGTTACGCCATTACAGTCTAATACAAATATGTACGTTATTTGATACTTGCGCAACGAAAAATTAATTCATATATAGAGAAACATTTTCTTGCTATCTATCTAACGTCCTTCAAATGACACAATGACATATTGATACTTTGTTAACAGACGTCTGCCGTGCATGCACCTGTTCCACATGGACTGCGTGGACCAGTGGCTGAGCACCAACAAGCACTGCCCCATCTGCCGCGTTGATATCGAGACGCACCTCAACAAGGACGCCGCGATCTAACCGCGTACCACACGCGACAACACACAACAATACACGTTACAGGTATTGCATAAAATAATGTCATTATTGGAAATGACTACTAAAATATGACATTATAAGAATTACTCGAATAAAACCTCACAAAGACAGATCAGAATCAGCCAAAACGTAGCTGCAGGCGGTTACAACGGAAACGTATCTCTCGTGCGCAGAAGCCTTGCCAATGACCTCATGACGTCACGCGTCAGTAGGGTTGACAAAAAAGGTTACATTAAATAATTTTTGCAATGTATTTATTACTGTAGAAACTTTACATAAAACTGTAAAAAAATTAATCTCAGACGAAAATCACTTCCCAAAAGTATCAAAAAGACGACTAAGGGAAAAAATAATAAATAAATATCGCTGTTACATTACGTAGATTATTATGTTTAATTATTTTTTATTTAATAACTAATAACTATTACAAACAAATTACAAAAAAAAGTAAAAGTTAACAACAAAACAATTGAATTCGGAGCGAAAGCAAACATAAAGAATCACTCGTTTCTGATGCGCTGACGGTACTGCGATCTGTGGAAGTAGTAGGAGGAGTCATAGGCAAACATTCTGCGCGCAGCTTACATATGTCCAACAAAACATTCTTTCAGTCAAACAAGAATATAAAGTCGTTTATATTTTATATAAGCACTATATAATACAAGCACGAAATATGTATATAAAAGTTTGTAAGGAAACAAGGCATTTACATCAAGATGGTGACATCATCCCAAAGTGGTAACCAAACCTCTTAAACATTTATCGGACAAATGGCATCTTACAACAAAATGGCCTAAGCATAGACTATGTCTATTAACTTGATTTACAAGACAGAAAGTAAAATAAGCACAAGATATAAGATTATACATAATAATAGAAATAAATATATGTAATGATTACTTTTAGTTTGCTTAACATAAAAAAAATTAATATTTAAGTATTCATTTTTTATAAATTATCAGACAAACAATCTTTATTTACACTCTACTATCCTTATACATGAAAATTATCGCAATCTTTTACTTTTTATTTCTTTATATGTGAACTACCGATTTTTTAAACTCTATGCATCTATGGGTATTTGTGAATAATAATTTGGTTAAGCTCAAAAGTATCTTGCCCAGTGACTTTTCATTGCAAAATACTGATGACAAAAAACGTAGTTCACGTAGTTCATACTCCAATATATTTTTCTTTAAATGGCTGAACTCATGATCATCTTTATTTTTGTTACACAATCCTTACATACATTTCTATCCCATACACTTAAGAATCATACATTGATTGTAAATATATTTTTTATTCATATATTTTCTATATTGTACAAAGATTGTCATGTCTTTTTAATTACATAGTTATTAAATTTAACAAGTACACTCTTTAATACCAAATAGGTAAACATTATAAGAATCATTATTATGGGAGTTCCGCTGACAAGCAAAGACATTATCTCTGTTTTCTTTTCTCTATCGCAATGTTTTTATACATGTGTTTGGCAGTGGGAACGCACAGTAAAGGGTGTTTCTCATTAGGCCTCCTGATCAGTAAACCCAGCGGGAAACACCTGTAGTACCTCTAATGAAAAGAGGTTTGGTAGATTTTAGTATTTTAACTTTTTGACATAAATGTATTACATATTTCAATTTTCGATTAAATGTCAGTAGTCTATGTTCAAAATATTTGGTAAGATAGTATATAAGACTATTGTTGTATGTAACTTTGAATATATTTGTTGTGGAAACTGCTGCATATATGTTATATTTGTTTCATATATTCTGATTTTGGGTCATTGTATCTAAAATTTTAAATCAATTCCTTTGTTAGCCGGAATAAATACTTTTTGCAGTCTTAAAAAAAACCTTGAACTATTGGGTTCTGATTTGAAAAAATCTTTTAATTGTTCTCTGCAGTAATTCGGATTTATTTTAAAAACTCATTTCGGTCTTAGGAGTATTGTAGTCATACAAAACTAAATTTTGGACATAATATGAAAATAATAGAAATATTTCTGTTTCTAAATACAATGTACCCGTAGAAATGTAAAATAAACTTACCAATGCAATTAGATACCTAAGATCCCCCTATTTGATGTAGCATTAACACATTGAATGCCACCAACTCGCCCTGCAAGTTCACTTTAAAAGAAAGCCTTTTGCCAGTAGTCAGTGGCATGCAATGTGTTAAGATATAGAAACTTTCATAACTTATTATCTGTGTCTTTGTCTATCACGTCTTCTGGTATCAATTTCTCTTTGTCTATGGTGTCATCTATTGTCGGTGTGTCTTTGTCTATGGCGTCATCCTTTACCAATTTATCTTCAAGCTGTGGTGAACTGATGATTGCCTTCTGTTGTAATTCTAAGCTCTCTTCCTGAAGCACTTGATTTAACTGCTTTTGGATGTTGCAAGACCTGTGGAGAAATTAGCTTACTTACATAATGTATATATATATATAATTTCAATGCTTATAATTAACATTATATATAATAGAAGTATATACAATCATTTTTATTACATATGTACTCTTGTCGAAAAATATGGTGGCAAATTTTATGCAAAGCATGCACTTATTAATTTAATTAAAACTGATTAATATATTATGTGGCATTTTAAATTAAAAAATAGTAAAATTGAACAATTAAAAATTGACAGTGACATTTTTAAACATGTTCAGTAATGGTTCCCCGCAAAAAAATCTTTTGTATATAATAATTTTTACTAGAAGGACATTTTTTATTTGAACAGTGTTAATTTTTTTTAAAAACAAAAATGTAATTTTCATAAGAATTAAAACCATATAATAATTCTGCATGATATTGTAATCTCAATATATAACATAAATCAATAGATATTTTTTGTTTTTTATTTGTCGTTTTAAGTTCTAATGTGGATAAGTCAATGTATGTGTATAAAATACTTTGTCAAAACTTAGTTCAATGGGTTTCTATACCTGAAATGCATGTACAAAAATATGGTTTATCTGTATCTTAGAGAATCAGAGTAACGAATTCTTTTTTTTTACAATGTTTTCTGCTATAGAAACCCATATATTTATCCCTTTATGTTGGTAGTTGGACAGTGTCATTATTATTGTGAATAGAAATATTGATGTTTATAAAACTTTTGTCTTTTTATCATTATGATTAATATAAGTAATATAAAACATATATATCAATCTAGATTATACAAAAATATATATGCTTTATTAAAGATTTTTTTCTTTAGAATAATTATTATTGGATTACCTGAGAGCTTGCTCTATTCTTTCACAAATGGCATCGGAGGCTGCATTGTTTCCTGAAAGGTATGATATTTCAGCTGCTACTGTTGCAATCTTTTCTGCATAGTCCATGTAACCTTAACCAACAGAATAAATTGTAAAATATTATGTCGAAGTTTGTCATATTGAGGTTAAAAAAGGTTGTTATTTTTGTTTGAGGGTCAAATCATATTCAATTAAAATAAAACTTCTAATACAAGTACAAGAAAGAAAGTAAATTTGTGACATTGATAAAATAACAAAATATAAATTACATTAAGGAAACAAAAATGCACCAAACTGGTCACCACTCAGCTTTAAGTGATGATTTTTAGTGTAAAGAGTTTCTATATTATACTAAAAATGTGTTGTACCATGTTAATGTTGCAAAAGTTTATATTACCAGAAAGGAAAACAAAACAAGGTAATGGAGGTAATAAGTCAAATAAGACAATTAACACAAGAATGTATCAGATACTTACTATAAAGTGTTCTCAAATTGTGTCTCAAGTCACAGAGAGTGCCACGCACAGCGACCAGCTGGTCCCAATGCTCTGGGGGAGTTACTTCCCCCCACTCCATAGCTTGTTGCACTAGACATATCTCTTTTGATAGAGCATCCCGTAACCTTAAACAAAATTTGACGGGGTTAAAAACATTATATACCCATATCTTAATGCCTTAGAAAAAAAACAAGAATAAGGCCATAATAATTTTTGATGTGTGTGATTACATCTATTACAAGAATGGGCCGGAAAAATATGCAGATTAAAAAGATACAACAAAAGAGGAGAAGTGTATCGCCCAGTCTAATTTTATTACCGAAAAAAATTGTCACCTCTCACTCGTATCTTGAATGGCAACAAGGGTAACCGTAAGAAGTTGCGTAGCTGCGTTAACATTTACAGTCGTGGCTTGTCGTATTAGAAATTCGTGTTCTAAGGACCCATCATATAAACCATTGCTAAACCCATCGTGGTTTTCGGCACAATATACTGTTGTTCCAAGCAAACCTAAAGTTGTAGGGGTGTATTTACGGATTTGAGAAATGAAAACGTTAGATGGAATTCTTCTTATTGCTCTTAATACAGCAAATAGTCTATATTTAAACATGGTTTTAGGTTTGCTTGGGTTGTTGTAATTTTTTATCTTTAAATTATTTCATCGTCGTTATTTTTATTTATCAAACATGACAGTGACAAATGGTGACAGTGACACTTCTGCAGATTATTTTTCTATCAAAGAGCATATAAAAGATTTTACAGTTTCTCTTTCACAGATCAAAAAAGTACTAACTGTTGCCCTCGACTTCCTCTGCGCGGAATTAAAAAAAAATAAACATTCACATTTATAATATTAGTAAAATTTCAAAAAATATGTATGTATACGACAAACCGTAAAAGTATGAAAACAGTGTCTCTGAAGTCGAAACCCAAAGTAAAAGCAGTACACGGCTTGGATTTAATGCAGACTACTTTTATTTGAATTTAAATTCGACCTCCATCAAGAACTTGGCACCTTCACTACTAGGCTGGCTATTTAACCGTGAACATATTATTGTAAATAAAAGACATAACATGAGTTAACTTAAATATATTATCCAGTAACATCAATTTCTAAATGGTGTGATCATCTTTGCAAATAGTTTTCATCTTTTTACAAATTCAAACACATCAGAATAGTCATATCTTCTTGTGACTGATGAGTTAACGTCGAAGTCCACTAGACCGATGCTGCGATCAGCTGCGGCAATCAGTTTCGTTGAATTGAAGACCAAACTATAAACTGGCGAGGCATTCTTTTGGGTGAAATACATCTGGATAATAATAAAATTATTTAATTGAATTTTTCAGTCATTACTACATTTTCATCTATCATACTGTACCTTAAAAAGTATATTGAATTTCAGAGTATGGTGTACTATGTAATTACCTGTACATGTCTTCCAGGTTGACGGTCATCAAATAATACGCAGCGTGAAAATTCTGAGGCACCTGCTATCAACGCATTGTTGCCATCAGTCTTGAGGCAATACAATGATGAATGAAATGGATCCATATTTCTGTAAATCTACAAAAGAAACTTTCATCAAACAGAGTTAAAAATCTCATTGTTATCAATGCTATCATAGATAACCTATACTAAAATGTTGTCACATAAAAAATATTTTTCAGAACCTTTTTTGATTTACCTTTATAGCATATGCATAGCATTGATATCAAATTTAGAGGACTAATAGGCAATTACTACTTACCACATGGTTAGTTCGAATATCCAGGAGTTGCATTCTTCCTGCATGGGACACATATGCTATAGTGTTCTCATTGTGCCATGTAATGTCTTTGACAGCATCTCTTTTCATATTTAGACTTTGATCAATAGGTAATTGGAAGGCACACCTGGAATACATTTTCTTCGGTTATTAAATCTAAAATCTCATGGTGTGTTTTAATTCAATAATAAAATATGAAAAAATAATCAGTATCTGAAATGTTTTTTATACATATCTATATATTTATTTATACGAATAAAAACTTACATCTGGCAATCCAATAAAAGTGGTCTAGTGTTGCCAGCTAAGCCAATAGCAAGTTTGTTATTTGTTTTATTCATAGACAAGCATCTTATACCAACTTCTTCACATGAAATTTGTATTGTCTGTTCTGTAATTAAAACCAAAAGAAAAAAATACTTAAATCACAATCAGTACATATTTAAAGGAAGAACTGATATATTTGAGAATTCCTTTTTCTTTTATATCATGTTTGTTGTTAATATTTCTTTGATAAATAAAGTTAAAGGCTAATTAAATTAAAGGAAAGTTTAACACTTACTACACTCAGAATTTTGCATTCTGTCATATAAATGGTCATAATTATCCTCCGAACAGTTCCAAGACCATAAACAGAGCTCTGAACTTTTACATGAACCTGTCAGCAAACATAACTTGTCTTCTGTCTTGATGCCTTCAATAGCTGTGACTTCTACTTCACCATTCTGATGGCAATCATCAATATGACAGAGTAAAGATGGCTTCTTTCTTGGATTGTTTGAATGAAAAACAGCTGCAGATCCATCTCTAAAAAGTTAAAAAATTGATTATATTAAAATATGAATTTATTTATTTACATAATAGTATGAAAGTATCTCCACTATTTCTCTTTTCTCATGGTAATATATGAGAAAAAATTCTAAATAACTAATGAAGCAATTTTGAAAATAAGAATACAAAAAGAAAAATGTTATATCAATAACTTATGCCATATTCAAAACCCTATGTAGCCCATAAAATCAGCTGCTACTACCAGCGCAGTGTTTTCGAAATAAGATTCCACAATTTTAAACTAACATTAAGTCACAATCCATTTTTCGCTGTCTTAGAAAGAGAAAGAAATTACTTTGAAATATTCTTAAAGAAAATTTAGAAGAGGCCACAGTATAAAACTATCATAATAATTTACCTGTTTCCACAGAGTAATATGTTATCTTTGATAACAAATCTTGATATATCATTTGTTCTTATGTCATATCTCCGTATGATGGGTACATGTAGAGACCAGAGACTGGTCCTACAGTTTGGTGATCCTTTTCTGTCTGTAGAAAAGCAGAACATTTCTGAACCAAGTGCCAATAGCAGCATTTGTGACTTATGTAACTCGAGCCATGGTATATAAAGTGTGTCATAGTGAAGTGCTCTCTAGAAAAGAAGTTATTACATATGTAATGAAGTTGTAAACAAAAGAATTTTGAACTGATAGCATTTAAAGTAATAAGTTACTTGAAGGATTTAGCTATTCAATGGTCAAGTAAATACTAATTTATATGCAGAGTATTTTTTTAGTATTTAACATGACACTACACCAAATCAAAGATGTTTAAACATAATTTCTGTTTTAGCATGTAGGCTAAAAGAAGTAGACAAGTTTACTCCTACCTGCTTTTTAAATATTCCTTTACACCAATTATGAGAAATTCTACATCTGCTATACCAGCTCCGAGAATCAGGGACACTAAAAAATGTTTTTTTCGTAATAAAATCATAGCCAATGAATAAGTAATCAATAATAAAGATAAAATTATACCTGGCTAGATGATCTCGTATTATTAATCTTTTCTTAGCAATGTTTCTCCAAATGGTATTATCGTGTAGAATAAAGTTCTTTAATGTCTTACATGTGCGTATCAAATTAGAAAGGTCACTTCCATCTAAAATGCTGAATATTTTTGCTAATATATCAAGTGGTAATTCTAACAACGTTATTCCGTGCATCTTGATAAATAGTTATCTGATTCAGAACATTATGAAATGATGATTTCCAAAATTTGTCAGAGAGATGTAATGTAATTTCTATTTTTCAACAGAACAATGAAGTAATTTTATTTCTCCGATAGGTCCTATAAAATAGAAAATAATGGAAAAATAAAATAACCATTCACTGCCATTGAAGATTTTTTTTGCAATTTAGAGGAATGTTTTGATTTTGTAATTTGACATTTGATGATTGATTGTTGTTGTTTTTATTATTCACTCGAAAGAGCAGGCAATTTGATGATTGATCAAATGACGTATGATGTATGGACAACAGATACAAATAATATCAAAAAAGTAATTCAGGTACTATGTGTATTTTTTTCTGTCAGGTTTTTCAATTCAATTCAAAATTTTGCATAAATACCTCATTTGATTTTAAAAAATTGTCATTGGAATATATTTTTAATTATCAAGCACTTTATTTCCCCTGAAATGCTTGTTGATTGCATTATTGTGTGTAGCTCGAATGGTGCACCATGCTTTTGCCTAATGTATTTTGATTTTAAGTTTGAAAGTGACGGAAATAAAAAAGACAAGGCTGTATGGCTTAGTTCCTTTGCCTGCTCTTTCGAGTGAATAATAAAAACAACATTGAAAGTGACGGTGACATTGACAGTTGACAGTGAGTCATCTAATAAGAAATTAGGAAAACTGCTGGTTGGCGCTTGGCGCATTGCCTACGCATTTTTAACTGTTTACACGGATGTTAGTTTTGTATCGATTCATTCCTTTCTTGTTTTAGGACTAATAGTAACTACTAAAAGTATTATTATTTTTTTAAATATTGATATTACCGAGTAGACATTTAAATGAACGGTGATCAAGTAACCGTCAAGCTAGAGACGTAAATAACTTTAAAATGGACTTATTTAAGCACGGTACGTATTTAAGGTTTTTACGCTACAATTGTTTCATATATTAATTTTATCTAAAATTAAGTGGGATACCTTAGGAAAAGGTTATAAAGGATTAAATTCCTTTGTGCGTTTATACATCGTATGTTATCAAGGCCGTTCTCTTTGGTGCCAGGTACCTGCAAGCACTGATACATTGATACTAACAAACGTAATGCTGTACGTCAGTGGGTGGTTCTCGACGTTATCAGTGCTTTATCGCGGCCTGAGCTGTGTTTGTTTAACATTTCTTGTGACAGTTTAGTGTTGAATAACTCAGCTGTGCAGACAGTCTGCTTTATTGTTCTCAGAATCATCGTTTTATTTATTTTGTGTGAATTTCATATTAGGATTACATCAAGTACAAAATTTGTTTCACATTTAATCAAGGATTTATTAATTATTGTGTATCAATTTAAAACATTAAGGTAATCATGACAGTAAAATATAGATATTTCAGTTTTAATAAGAGAAGAAAATTTTAGACAAGTAATGATTTTTTTTAATTTGTCACTACAGGTATGAAGGGTCCTTTACGTCCAGCACCTTCAGTTCCACCGCTGAATGGCGTGAATCGCTACTCACCAGTCACCAATTGGAATGATGATCCTTTCGGAGCTGATGTCTTCGAACCTACACCACAGTTTGCACAGAAAAAGAAGCCCCCACCTCGCCCACCGCCACCAAAGCTCTCCAGACAGCCAGATATTCCAGCTAAACCTTCCCATTTCATTCGTAAACCTACAGTTCTTACATCACTTCTATCACGTAAAAGTAAAACAGTGATACAAAATACAACAGTGAAGCAACAAACTGTGAACATGGATTTCGGAAGTGAATTAGATACACATAAAATGTTTCCCAAATGTGAAACGAAGAATGTGCAAACTGGAGCATTGATTGATTTCTCATCACCACCAAGTTCACCAACTTTCACCACACGGTCTAGTAGTGACGGTCTCAGTGTCGACAGCTTCGGTTCAGATGCAACTACTTCAACAAATCATCATAATCATTTTAATGGTGGCAACGTATCCCAACCTGAGAGTGGATTCGAAGATGATTTTGATTTATTCTTAAACAATAGAAAGCAAATACATAAAGAAGATACATTAGATGATTTGTTCATAGCTGATCCGTTTTCACCACAGCCTTTAACAAAACCGCCTATAATGAAGAAACCGGTTATGAACCGAGATATTTATGATTCTACAAGCAATATTCAGGGTTCTATGTTTAAAGGGCCAACGATAATACGAGCGAAACCAGCCAGGCCTAAGCCACCTGATGGTTCAGCAATATTGAAAAGTACATTGGGAAATAATATGGCACCTTCTTTTATGAATATCAATACAACAGTCCCTATACAGAAGATTACCAGTGGCTTTGGAGATTTTGTAAGTAATAGACATATCTTTTATTTTATTTTCAACATTGCATATATAAATAGCTGCTAATTTTTTTGAATTAACAATTAAATATGCAATGTTTTAATGCCATAAACCATAAATATTTTTTAAAAAATCTTGTACATGAAAGTTCTGATTCATTTCATTTTATAAATAATTATTGTTTTTAGATACAGGGTGTTCCAAAGTTAAATAAACAGTTGATTCAGTAAAGTATTTTTAATATATTTTTCACTGTTTTACTAACATGCAGCCATTTACCTTTATTTGTTATTTATAGTATTCAATGGGTTTTTCATATGATTTTCTGCTATACACAGAGTGATTCACGTATTAATTATTTAAAATTAAACATATTTTTTTATTATGGCAAACAAAAATGTTAGTATGTCAAATTTAAAACTGGGAAGGAATGAATCCTCAGAACAAAATAAAAATATTGTGTTGGACCATTGTTAACTAACTGGCTAGCTAGATGGCTTTTTTTCGTTTTATCTTTTCCTTTGTTACCTACTTTTCTTAAGCATTTTTTTACCATTTGACCACCAAATATTCCTTTATCTACCAGATATTTTAATTTCCTTTCTTATTTCAGGACTCGAAGCCATTTAGGTGGGATGACGACAGTTCACCGGAGAGGGAACCGTCGCCCCCCATGCCGACGATACCTCCTCCCCCGCCGCCCGTGGTCGACGACGAACCGACCTGGCCTGAAGATGTCCAAGATTTCTTATCTGAGAACATTCTCGAGGATATAGAAGACACGCAGCCATACGCGATCGCTTTATTCGACTATTTCACAGATCATGAAGAGGATTTATGTTTTTCGGTAAGTTTTTTTTATTCACCTTTGTCTAGCGTGTGAACAAATCTCGGACAAGGTCGGCGGTATAACTTATAGCGTGCTCTAAAATGTCTTTGAATTTAGATTTCTTGGTTAATGATTGAATTATGATAATTAATATCATGAATAATCAATTGAGAATATTAGCTTATGACACGAAGTCGTGGAGTCGAATTGCTTATAAAGTTTTTATACCATGTACAAAATAAGTGTTTTTTTTTGTGGGACAAGCATCACTTAAATTTAATCTTTTATTTTTTTTTCGATTTAATAATCTAGATTCTTTAAAAAAAACTCAAATGCTTCATACCTCGTTATTCATGTAGTTTATCCCTAATATGTATGTTAATGTGCTAATAACATTTCGTGATAGCACGAAAATTTGCGTTACATTCGCACACGCATCAATACATAAGCATGCATATGCGCAACTCCTTAACTTCCCTCCATATATAATTGCGTTTATGTAATCTTTACTTTAGGCAATGAATTCTAATCGTTTTTGGTAGCAAAGTTTAGACAAATAGTTAAGCTAAATTGCTAACGTTTCGTGATTATTTTATTTTTAATATCAAAGCACATCACTAGAAAGCAGCGGTACAGTTATGGCACGGCACACCTCTGACCTTTCAGAGAAGATTGTCATTAATTTATGTATGTGAATTCCCGTCGGTTACGAGAATTACGACCAAAAAGGTGACATTCACCTTCTTTTAGTTGCATATCTGGTCAGTATGAAATCATAGATAGTAATTCTTAAAATAAACCGACCGTTAGTCTTGTGTCATGTTGTGTTTTATTTATACAAACATTTATGACATGTAACAAATATTTATATGAATAACCATGTATTGTTTTTGCCGAGTTTATTTGTTATGTAAAACATAATATGCTCGGTCTGGTATGATACAGGAAGGAAAAAGAAAAACGTACGGTACGGAAATTAACAGACTTCTTTGTCCTAGGATTTCGAAGGAAGTTGTTGATACAGGGTGTTTGGAATGTTTATCATTATTTTTCAGAGCTATATCTATTCTTTATAATACAATGTTAACTTAATATTATGTTATTGTCATTGGTTTTCAGTCTTTTATACCGTTTATCGTAATCGATAATTTTGGGAGTTCCAAAAAAGTCACATGACATATCTAACACTAAAAAATCTTATAAACAATTAAAGAAAAGTAACTTTCCATGATCTCTGATATCTAACAAGTAATAAAGGACTACCATTGTGGATAAAGCTACGTATAAAATCAATAAAAAAAAGTTTTACAATAATGGGTGAAGTCAAATGGATATTTAAAGACATTGTGTAATCGTATTGTCCTATTTATTCTGACCTTTTTATTTATCTCACTTATTGAGTAATGTTTTGTGCATTATAACTAACTTTTAAATGACATACAATAAACGAAACGATCATTTCTTTTTTAATTTCTAAGCTTATTAGCAATCATTTCATTATAATGCGTAAGAAGATAAAAAACGGATACGACTTCATTTAATGGGAACAATGGATTAAAATAATGCATAGAAACAGTAACTATAACTAATATACATTTTCATGAACGTTAAAAGATAAAACACCCTGTAATTACAAGTAAATGATATCCTTCTTAGTTATATTCCAAGTGTCTTTATTTTTGTTTATTTGTGTCTATTTAAGTGGTTATAGATCAGACAACACATTAACTTTATGATCTAGTACACATGTGACAAACTACGGAACCGATTATTTGTTGCCGTGACGTTAAAGGATCGTTAAACGTGCTATTTAGTTAGAAACAATAGTAACATATGTTACTGCATAATACAAAGTGATAATGGGCAGACAGACAAATAAAAAAATAATTCTGTAGCATATTGAGTCGTTAAGTGGTCTCTACTTGTAATGACATCTACACTAATATGAGAAATCTAGATCGCGGTAGATAACTCGCCGATATAAGAGGAAT